AGCCCTATGATGTAGGCCTCAAATCAAAATTGTGGCTGAACCATTGTTCTTAGAATGTCTTTTAGAGTCAAAATGACCAATTATATACATGGTTTGGATGTATAACTTGGGATTTCCAATTTTCAATTTCAACTTATTTAACTTATGCCTCCATTTTAGGCCATTTTTATCATTTTTTGATACAAGCCTTTTCAAAATCTCATGACCTCCTTACTAGCCTTAAAACATCATTCTAAGCAAGTTTGATGTTGAAGATTTTTCCATTTGAAGCTTGGAAATAGGAGATATGGCCTTATGCTTGAAATGACCTATAACCTCCAAATGACCAAAATGCCCTTGACTTGCCAAAGCCATAACTTGAGTTCTACAAATCCTATCAAAAACTTCTAGTACTCTCTAGAAAGATAATAAGATGCTCTACAACATTCATGTTGACCAAGAGTCCATAGGAATCATCCTACTAGGGCAAAAGTTGGATGCAAGTTGGGTGACTTTCAAGGACCCAGATTCACATACCTCAGATAACCTGTAACTTGTCAAAGTCATAACTTGAGGTCTACAAATCCTATCAAGGACTTCTAGTACTCAAATTAAATCTAAGAGCAAGCTCTACAACATTCATGTTGTGGGGAAGATGAGATAACAATCACATCTTGAGCTAAACTGCCTTGAAGATAGGGATCAAACTAGGGGATTTTACACTGTCAAGCCTTAGAAACCCTAACTTGAAACTTCTCAAACTCCTCAATCATGATGATTTGGTCTAGGAATCATCCTTATAGCATCTCAATGCATCATTCCATGGTCACATGGCTCTTGGATTAGGTCTCAACCCTCTCCAAATCATTAGTTGACCTAGGGTTGACCCAGTCAAACCCTAATTCCACCACTCATGGCTGAATCTTCTGAATCCTTGTACAATGACCTCTCTAGGCTTCACGATGGCTTTCAAGACATCTCATAAGCTTTCTCAAAGCTTCAAGTCCATCCTCATAGTCTCAGAATCATCTGAGAAGCTCCCACAACTCTCAAGTTATGAGACACACAACATTGGTTTCAAACAATCTCTCTGAGGATCTCTTGAGTTCTCTGACAAAGATATCAACCTTTGAACACTTGACTAACCTTCTTGGCTAGCTTCATAGTCTCATACAACTCTTGCTGGGTGATCATACCCTTTGATCTACTGCCCACATATCAATGAGAAGCAGATGATCATGCTAGTGAACATAAGCTTGGTAAATAAATGTTGGTCAAATTTTGGGGTGCAACAATATGGAACATGAAAAGATCTGCACCTTTGCTTCTTAAGGATGTACCTTCATCTTCTGAAGTATCTGCTACAGAAACTATTGCAGAATCTACTTCTGAAGAAAATCCATTGGCTTTGACAACTGTGGACAAACCCTTTGCGTCTGTGGCTCTAGACTCTGAAACTCAAATGGTTATTGACTCTGCTCCTGCATCAGAATCTGCTCCATCTACTTCTTCTGAGATCAAGAAAGAGAACCCAGACTTAGAAGATAAGATTGTTGTGCTGGAAGCTGGGTAATCTGAGATCAAGTCCTGGATGGCTAAGCAAGATCAGAAGAATGAGAACATGGAGAAATGGATGTCAAAGCAAGAAGAATCCTCATCTGAGATCACTCAACTTCTGAAGATGATTCTTTCCAAACAAACCTAGTTCTGTGTTTTCTGTATCTGATGTTTGTGCACTTGTACTTGAATTTCTTATTTGATGTTTTTGTCTGTTCTGTCTGAGTACTTATTTGAATGAATGACTCTGATGTTTTCTCTACATGAATGTATCTTTTCTCTATTTCCTTTTATATTGTCTTTTAAAGTTTTCTTTTTGATTATGACAAAAAGGGGGAGAAAATGAAATTCTGAATGTTCAAATAAACTTTACCTGAATGGAATTCAGATATATCAAATTATAACTAACATGAACTCTTAGTATTTCAAAACTTATGAAAAATCTGACAAAATTCTTTAAAGTAACTCTGAGATCTCCAGATCAAGTTTTAACCAATCAGGCTCTGATTCTGAAACGTTCATCCAAGTCAAGCTCTATTTTTTTTGGAACAATCAGGCTCTGATTCTGTAAACAATACTCATGCAAAAAGGGAAGTTTCTATTCCTTCTAAGTATTCAATTCAGGAGGAGATTCATAATCTCAGGGGGAGTTATAATTATATCTTTATTGAATGAAATTTCTTATGTTTTTGTCATCATCAAAAAGGGGGAGATTGTTAGAACACAGATTGGTTCTTAGTTATATCTCTATGTTTTGATGATAACTCTTACGAAATTTTGTATTAAGAAATTATATACTCTAAAATTTGTTCAAGTATTTTTGCTGCAGATATTAAAGTTAATATTCTTCTGAATGCAAAATGGATCTGAACGTTGAACTATGCAAGGCTCTGAAGCGTCAGAAGCATCTTTTAGAAGAATCTGAGCGCTGCCTACAGAAGACTCTGAGCGCTGCCTACAGAAGGATCTGAAGCAGAAGCTACAGAAGCATCTGAAGCATATTCTGAAGACATTGTATGAAGAGTTTCAAGCACAGTTTTTCAGAAGACTCTGATAGTACTGTACGCTACAAGTACTGAGGATCTAATCCCTAAACTCTGCTCTAATGAAATCTCACGCTAAAGCACACTTGCTGCAACACTCTGATACAACATATTCTGAAGACATCAAGACTCTGATCACTCTAGGCTCTGATGTGAATTGCTGGGAGTTAGAAACTTGTTGAAGAAGAATTCAAAGTTATATCCGTTGGTTATGCTAAACGACTCTTTCCTCATTTATGCTAGACACAAGAACACAGGAAAAAAGGATTTCTCTAAACGTTCTACTTCTAGGAAAGGTCAAGTGATGTGAAGACAAAAAGGCTACAGCTCTTTTCAGTACACGGTCTTCAAGTGCAAACGTCTTGGACTTCTGCGCCTATAAAAGCAAGACTTCAACATCTTTCTCAAGTTGACGATTATTGAAAGAAATTCATTGAAAAGCTCTCATACAAATTATTCTCTTTGCTGAATTTATTTCATACGTTCTTAAACTTAAGTGTAAAATCACAGTTGTGATATATCTTTCTTAGAAGCATTCAAACACTTGTTTAGTTTTACATTTGATTGTAAAAGTTCCTTGAGAAGACCCAGTTGTGGTCAGTAGTTCTTGAGAAGACTAAGAACAATTGCTCTTAGTGTTTGCTATTGTAATCAGTTTGATTAATAGTGGATTAAGTCCTTATGGAGAAAGGCAAATCACTCTTGATAGGGTGGACTGGAGTAGTTGAGTTCAACGAACCAGGATAAAAATCATTGTGTTTTTATTGCCATAATTATTTTCTATATACTTATTCAACCCCCCCCCCCCCCCCTTCTAAGTATTTTCTCACCTTCATTTAAGTTTTATTTCCACATTTCTTAAATCTCTGATTTTGTTTATGGAACCTAAAATGCTTTTGAAATTGTCTTAAGGGAAAATGGTATATCCAACTCCCCCTTCTATACCTCTTTGCATCCATATTCTCACCTAACAATGTCCTTCGAAAGTCGAAACTTTATGGGAGATTTCGCCTCGTTGAAGTGCACTTCTGCCTTAATAAAAAACTGAAGAAAATACATTCTTAGATGTTATTCTCAACAACAGACGACCCTTATTAATACAATTTTATATTCGTTATAAACCACACGAAAAGGTCGGTGTAATCACAATTGTAAAAAAGTGTCGGCAAAATCTCAACCATTCAATTTTTTACTCTTTTTATAACTACTGGATTTTTTACTCATGGACGAAATATCCAACAACTTGCGGATGTTTTAGAAAAACCGGTACTAATGTATTAGACAACGATTTTTCATGGGCGGGATATACAATTTTTCTTAAGTCGAAAAAACTATGGCCTAAAGTAAATAAAATCGTTGCCTAAAACAATAGGCAACAGTCTTTTTATGTGTGGATTATACAATTTTTCATAAGTTGCAAAACTACGTCAATTAGAATAGACCACAATTTTATTTACTTTAGGCCAAAAATTTTCATTGTTGCCTAAACTCAAGTTATTCGATAAAAAAAATTATATATCGAAAAATTTAATTACAAGTTATTATATGAATAAAAAATACATATCAGAAAAGTTAATTGCAAGTTATCTGATAAAGAAAAATTATATACCAAAAATTTTTAGAAAAATTACATATCGATACACTTTGATAGAGATGTAAAATGATAAATAGTAAATAATAAAATTATTTGATAAATAAAAAGAGTAGAATTTAAATATTTAAAAAAATATAGATAAAAGAATAATGATAGAGGAATGAGATAAAATTTCCTTATAAAAAGAGTAGCGTGTTTCAACCACTCTAATACTCTAATTATGAAGATAGAGGCATATACACACATATTCTAGAACGTCGCTGGAATTCTACACGATAACGCTGGTTCTAGATTTCTTCAATTCCCAAAATTGTATGATGAACCAACCATAAATTTCATGTTTTTATTTATACATGATAGTGGGTAATGAGAGATAAAAGATTGAATTAGTTAGCATTAGAATATAAATTGTTAACAATGTTTTATGAATTGTTGCCCAGTTAGCCAAAATTGTTTATCTTTTTACTACAAAATTTCTGCAAGAGGCCTAAAAGTGGAAGAATTTATGTGCAATTTATCCCAAAATAAATAGTAACAATAATAAAATAAAATTGACAGCAAAAGAGGTGAAAAGAAACGCATTAAATTATACATAAAAGCCATTTAGAAGTTAGAAGTGAGAAATCAAACAAGTATGGTGGAAGCATTTGCTTATACAGTCAGGTGCAATGCCAACCAATCCATGTTATAAACAGAATGTCATGCATTAATTCCAGTTTCTATTTTTTTGGATTATTGCAAAAAACATGAAATTAAATAAGTGAAATGCATTAACTATAGTAACATTTGGACTGTACAGGAATTCTGTTGTCAGTAACGTCGTAACTTCACTCCTCGGACTCGGGCTCGGGCTTGGGCTCGGGCTCAGGCCCAACTCTGATCTCCAAAAGCCTCTCAACTGGTTGTCTGCAGATTGGACATCTATTTGTCTGGAACCTTAATACCTTCGCGCATACGCTACACATGCACTGCAACAGGGAAAGACATACAGCCAAATTGTATCAATAAGGACTGAGTAAGGGCGTGTTTGGATTAACTTATTTGAATTTATCAGCTAACATTAGCATAAGTGAAACTGTTTAGATAAACTTATGAAAACTGCTTATAGCTTAGACCCTATTTGAAAAAAACAACTCAATTAAGAATTTATAGAATAAACATTTGTCATATGGTGATTTATGAGCTATTGATTTAACCAAAGATAAACAAGTCAAACTGTTTTCATAAACTATCCTAGAGAGCTTAAGAAAATAAACTGAAAAAAAGTTTATGAACGTGTCACAAGATCTTTTCATAAGCTCTCCCAAATAGTTTCACGTGTGTTTATGCGAGTAGAGAAGCTCATTAAGCCAATCCAAAACAATGTCTTTATTACATCTTTTGTCATAGAAATAGCTTAAGCACAAACAGATATTTAGATTAGTACTAGTCATATCAACGGCTAACATCAGCATCATTTTGTCAATCAAAAAAGCAAAATCAAATCACTAAAGAGAAAACTGTAAATACCATGTGGCGACAAGGAAGGACAGTTGTGTCGCGAGGTTCTGACAAGCAGATTACGCATTCTTTTCCGGGGTCATTCCCATCCAAGTCACTTTCGACCGAAGTTCCAATACCATATATCTCCTGCAGCTCATACCTCATTCCATTCACCCACAATATCTGCTTAACAACCTTCACCCGGAATTCTCCTTTCTCCTTCTCAAATACAGCTTGAGTTATCTGAGAGTTGTTTGTGTTTGTTTTACTACCAGATTTAGGAGTTTCGTTTGATCCATCCTCGGCACCTGAAGATGCATCTGCTTTAACTGCTACAGGATAGACGTTTACGTCACCCACTTTCAATAACTCAGATTCCTCAAATATTGAGAAATTGATACCAGTTCCAGCTGGCTGTCTAAACTTCTGGCCAAGACCTTGCTGGAAATTTATAATAACCGGTGCAAGAACATTTTCCTTTGTCGATGTAAGGATACACCCGTCACCTTCTTTTGCAAAGAAAAGTACCGTGATGCTGTTATGGAGAAAAGGAGAAACAAACATTTAGATCAAACAAATAAAACAGCTATAGCACAATGGAATTTTGCTTTTAACATAACAAAGTATAGAGGTACATTAAATAGAAAGAAGAAAAAAAAACAAAATATAGTAATCCTTCCATCCCTTATTATAAGGGAATTTTAGCTTTTTAAATTCATTGAATATATGAGGTATCTGGTCTATATATAAACCAGATACATTAGTTATTCAATAAATCTTAAAAGTCAAAATTTATTTATAATAAGGAATGGAAACAGTATGTGTTTGGAAATACGGTGGGTACCCCCACCAACATAATGCTACAGGACGGAGTTTCGCTTTTTCCACATTTTTTCTGCAATGTGACGCACGTTTATGACTTCAAACGTACAACCAAAGAGTACATAGTGCTTCTAAGTATTGTTTATTATAGCGCTTCTAAGTATTGTTTATTATAAAATGACGATAACTGTCATGCTGACAATCTTTAGCAGCAACCTAGTTTGCTTTCCAATCAAGCTCCCCATATTGTCAAAGAAAATTGATCCTGAGCAACACATAGATATACTTATTGCGCACAAAACACAACAATATATTTGCAAGCCTTGTCATGTACCATTTTTCCACCTTCCTAAGATCGCTAAAATGACATATTGGGCCAATACATAAATAGTTAATCAAACTATTCTACACTGGCACAACTACTAGAAATCTCTCATTACATTACAGTTCACATTCCAAAAACCACAATTTTGACAAAAACCACAATGATCGCATTGCCGCTGTGACTTCATCAAACTCACCACAATTCCAAACCAGAACCGTCTTAAGTTTTCTGAAACCCTGTGTAGGTTAGCTATGATTTAACCTGACAAATATTTTATAAGACATTTTTAACCACAAATTAACTGTGAAATTTTGGGCCTTATGCAATAGTCTGTCTTGCAGGCTCTCAAAGAGGGCCTTGTACAAGCTAGTTAACACTAACAGCAATACAACAAGAAAGCAAACACATGATCTAACAGCAATCTCACCGAAACCTTTCATAAGACACACAGTTAACATTCACATGATGCGTTACAAACCATAAACCAAAACAAATTAACTTATTAAATCATCCAATAAGGGAGAAAAACCGTTACCTCCCAGAAACAGTGGCATCAAAAGTAAACGTAACAAGAAACTGGCCAGGATTTTCCTCATCAGGTTCAATCCTCAGTGTCTCCTTCTTGATATTAATATCATTCCTAATAGTAACAGCTTTCTGATGTTCCACATAAGGCGCCGGTGGCAGTGGCGGTGGCGGTGGCGGATAACGGCCATATATCGGGTCCATCGGCGTACGGTGATGATGATCATACGGTGCCGGTAAAGGCATCGTAACTGTAGCCGGCGGAGGATAGTAATTCGGGTAATTCTGATACGGTGTAGCAGCGGCAGGGTGAGCAAATTGGTTAGCCGCAGCTTCTTGTAGAGGAGGAGTCACCGGAGGATGAACACGTCGCCCACTTCCACCGCCACCGTGTCTCCGACGATTGTGTGAACTTCCTACGTTACCCATGAAAACGGAAAAAATTACCAAAACGCACTAAGGTTTTTTTTTCTTTTGTTGTGGTTTAATAAATAAAATAAAATATAGAATGGAAGTAGTAGCTAGCTAGTAAGAGATAGAAATGAAGTAGGAGGAGAAAGATTCTAGAGATTTCAGTGGTTGGATGGATGAAGCAGTGAGAAGATGGAAGGTATAATGGGATTGCGTAAAGCTCCACCTTGTAACAAGCACTCACACCATTGATGAGAGATGGGATGGGAAGGTTTTTGTTAAAGTGCTTCACTTTAATTTTAATTGATTTTTTTTATAAAATTGCTTTAATTTTTATTTTATTTTTTTGCTTTGTTTGATTTGTCATTTTCCTCTTTTCTTTTTTTCTTCTAATATTTTTATTATAAAGTTCATATCATTTGGATTCTTCAATGAGTGGAATATTATCTAATTCATAAAGTTTTGTTTGAAGTGATGGAATTTAGTAGGATGGAGTGATCTATTAAAAAAATAATAATGTTTAAATTATTTAAAATTTAATAAAGCAAAATAGAATAAACGAAGTTATATATATATATATATATATATATATATATATATATATATATATATATATATATATATATATATATATATATATATATATATATATATATATATATATATATATATATATATATATATAATTTTGTTTTTTAACAAAATGTTCTAAAGGTTTGTTTGGATAGATGAGAATGTATGAAATGAAACTGAATGAAGTGGAATAGTATCATGTTCCATTTTTATTGTTTGGTTTTATAAATAAAAAATGAATGAAATGGAATGAAAGGAAATGCAACCTATTTCATTCATTCAATATCACTATTTAAGTGCACTTTTTATTTCATCCAAATTGCGGTTATTTAATAGAATGAAATAAATTAATAACATAATTATAAATTTGTCTTTTAAATTTTTACTTTTATTAATCATATTAATGTTTTTTAAGAGTTAAAAATGAAATAAAAAAATATAATGTTTTTCACTCCGTCCATTTTTTAAATAATAGAATGGGATATTATTTCCGCTCTATTATAAAATATCCAAACAATAGAATGTGTTCATGTTCCATATCGCTCTATTTTATCCATTTCGTTATGCTCCACTCCATTAATTTTAAATTATCCAAACATACCCTAAATAACCATGTTTCTCCATTAATTACAAAAGTACACATTGCAACATATAGCACATGACAATTGAATTGACAACTACATTGAATAAATAAGCCGAGACGCCAACTGAATTGGCGACATGTCTAGCCAATTGAATTGATGACTATGTACTAGCACGAGGATAAGGCGCCAATTCATCTGGCTCTTATGTGATAGACACTTTTTTAGTATAAATAAAGGTGTTCTTTCTACCATTTTTTCCACATCTTTTCTCATTTTCTTCTTAATATTTTTTCACTTTTTCTAACACGAGTAATAAGAGAAATGGACATGTTTTTTTTTAGAATCAAGTCTTCGATGAAAATTTTTGGAACATCCGAAGTTTTAAGCAATTTGAGAGAAACTTGATCTTTTTGTTAGACTGATAGATTAATGATAGTGAAAGAATTAGAAGTATTAAGAGATTTGTTTCATACATCTCTATTGCGGACGATAATGATGATATCCAGTATATGTGGGTGCCAATAAAAAATTACAATGATGTTAGGGATATGATGTCTGCACTAGATGATATTGTTTTGATTGTTGTAATCTCTTAGATTTGTTGTGTTGTTAATTTTTTTATTGATTGTTTGTATTATTGTTTTATGGGTGTTTATGTTTGTTTTGTTGTAATCAAAAGTCATTATCTATATTAAATGCCAAAGTTACAAAAAAAATTTAACAACATAATAAATTATCATGCAGAGGTTGTTCCAATATTAGGATAACATTTAAATATGTGTCTGGGCTGACGACATATACCATACAATTTTACCATTTTGTTAGTCGTATCCATTTCGATTCTAATATGTGTGTTGTTTGGGGCAACATGTATCAAACATAGGAGGCAAATAGGGCTGGAAATGAGTCAAGTCGAGTCGAACTTACCTTAACTCGGCTCGACTCGTTAAAAATTGGTTCAGCTCAAATCTCGGTTCAAGTTCAATACGAACTTTTTTTTAAGCTCAAACTCGACTCGTTAAAAGTTCACGGACTATTTAAATCATCTCGTTAGGTTCAGCTCACTTGCTTCACGGACTTAAAAGCCATTTTTTTAAGTCTATTTTATTTTTATATATTTTACATTTTAAAATCAATATTTTTTAAAAAAGATAATATTAAAATAAAATAAAAGTTATGAGTATGAAATTTAATTTTGTTTCAAAAATCTACTAATTCAAAAACTATACAATTTTCAAGAGACACGTTTAAAAGCCTAATTCAAAAAACACTTAATTGAAGTTTAAATTTATCTAAAAAATCCATAACTTCGTCAAATATTTAGTAAACTTACAAATTTAATGAAATAGTACCCAACAAATTACTAGAAATTGATACGTATTTATTGATTACACCATTTGCAACCTTTATTACACATGTTATTTTAGCAAATGTCATAATGTCTCAAACAAGGATGACTCTAAATGCAATTGTAAACTTTATTGCCATAACTAGTACCTAAGAGACAATATAGAATTAAAATTTGAAGTAAATATCTAAAGCTACTCTTAAAAATAACATAATCATTTTCATATATAATCGAGTTGACTAATGAACCTAACGAATCGAGCTATGTATAGTTCAAGTTCAACTCATTTAGTTAACGAACATAGTTTTTTTGCTCATATTTATCTCATTTGATTCATGAACCTAGTTCAACGATTTAATTATCGAATCGAGTTCTGAACTATCTTCAAGTTGGTTCGGTTCATTATCAGTCCTAGAGGCAAATGAATTTGCGCCTCCTCCTTGCATTTGTACATAGTTGTCAGTTCAATTGACTATGTATGATGCAATCCCCAATTTAATGATACAGTCGCCATTTTGATTGACATGTGCTCCATGTTGCAATTTTTTGTTCAACCTTTTCATCTCTTTCCATCACTTTTCTTTTCTCTAATTCTTCTTTTTATTTTGTTCAAGCTTTTCATCTATTTTGAACGGAACCATTGTTAAATTATAAAAGTATAAACAATAAATAAAATCTTTAGTTTGATATGTCTCATTCTTTTCTAGTATGTTTCAATCGTTTTAAAATATTTAACCATGTTATTTTTTAAAATAAATTGGATACTATTCACGCATAATCATATAAATTAGTTTATAAAGTTGAGAGGATATAGAATAAAATTTTCTCTCTCAAAAAGATTTAATATTTTTAATGTTGATTTTTAACTCAGCATCTCTAGTTAAAATATCCAAACATAATTTATAAGAATTTTTTATTGCACTTTAGATGTTTCTTAAGTACCACGCAAAATTTTAAAAATACTCTCAATTTTTGTAAATATATCTCCGAACGTATCTCATTACACTTATTTCATTCGTTTTTTAATCAAATTCGAATTTTATGAATAAATTTATTTCAAAAATACATCTCCAAAATTTTAAAAAAAATATATTTCTAAAAACTAAAAAATGAAAACAAGAGATTCACTGTTAAATAATAGCATTACCAAGGTGATAAAGTAAAGTGATGTCAATTTTACCTTTGGATTTGATATACACAGTAGAGCAAGAGCTGGAGGAACTACTCGATGAATATTCTGCTCTCTATAGTGTATAAAATGTTCCAATGATCCAATTGTCATCTTAATACCTAATTCTTCGACCATTTCTACCATAGCAATTACAAGTACTACTTAATGATTTTTTTTAAAGACCTAATTCTTTAACTGCCAAAACATTGCTTAAGCAACTATTTTGAGTTTTTATTTTGAAAGATTTGCATAATTACTATTTTTGAATGTATCTTAAATTAAGTCAAGTTTTCCTTATTTAGAAAAAACAGAAACAAACAAATCTTTATTTCCATGCTACAAATTTGCTTTATTTCATATTTTACAGGTGAACTTTTGTTGATAGCATCCAATTGGAATTATAATTTCTGATGTGCTGGATAACTTAGTCACATTTGGTGCTTCACTATAAGATATTCATAAATTTAGTTTTCGAAAATATATTTTTTTAAATTTTTCGGAGATGTATTTCCGAAATAAATTTATTCATAAAATTCGAATTTGACTCAAAAACAAATGAAATGTGTGTATTGAGATGTGTCTAGATATACATCTTCGAAAATTAAAGATATTTTTAGAATTTTGTGTAGTACCTAAGAAACATCTATGATGCAATAAGAAGTCCTCTAATTTAAATGTATCAAAAATGACAAACACATACATAATGGATCTATAATGGGCTTGTTTGTTTCAGTTTTAAAAAATAGATTTTTTTCTTTAAAATTAGATTTTATAAAACTGTTTTTTAAAATATTACAAATTTTTTTTTATATTCGTTTTTCTAAATTAAAAGACTATTTTGACATTCCATAACATAAACATACATTATTGAAGTATAAAATATATTGAAAACCACAACTTTTCCAAAAAGTTGTACCTCAAAAATAATTTTTATAAAAAAAGTTATTTGAAATAACTTCAAAAGTGATTTTTTAACATTTTGATATCCAAAAAAAAATTTCAATAAAATGATGAAATATCTAAAATAACATTATAAGAATAACTATTCAAGATAAATTTTCATTTGAATCTTTTGCCAAAAATTTCTTTGTAAATATTTTTTTACTCAAAATTATGCTACAATAAAAAAAAATCATTTAAAAAAAAAAGAGACAAAGCTGAATTGATTTTGTTAGTAATTTCAAAGATTAAATTGAGCCAGCTGACAAGCATATTTGAAAACTAAATTGATTATTTAAAATATATTAACAACAAAAATAGGTAGAGTGTTTACGGTTGAAATCAGCTTTAAGATAAAGACTCATCCGAGTGTTTACGGTTGAAATCAGCTTTAAGATAAAAA